ACTAGAAGAGTTCTATGACTACAGTAGCAGGTCTCAACTATCTTTCTAAATCCTGTAGTTATTCATTCTTGTTCTCACCTCTATTCATCTTTTATGTCAAATCTTAATGCATTTTCCTTTGGAACATATATATCAATCAGCTATGTTGATGAAGCTGGAGACCAGATAGTTGTATCTGGTGAAGCAGACAACACTGTGGAACTCGTTGGTGGATCTGAGCTCGTGATCACTGATAGATCAGATAACACAACAACGTCTAGAACTCTTGGATCCCGTGAATTCATGCGTTACTACAGACAGAAGCCACGCCCAGCTTCTCATAACAGCAACCAGATTGTTGCTTCTCTATCTTCAAGGTTTGTTTCCAACCCCATTAATTATCCATCCTACTAAACTAGAGAGTCAGCAAGTAATCTAAGGCTATTGCCATAAATGGTAAATTCTCAGGTACAAAAGCTTGGGTCTGAGGACGGTGCCGTCGAAAGAGGACACAATGAAGATGAAAGTGCTCAAGGAGATGAAGAAGAGAGACGAGACCATGCGTACCAAGATCGCAATGAAGAGTAACGTCATAAGAAACTTGCCCAATAACGTCACATACTAGTTCTTGAGTTTGTGTCTTGAATATATATTGTTGGATTGTATGCTTATACCATGTACTCTGACCAAATTGTGTTGGTGATAAATAACAAGTGAGCTACTTTAAACATAATATTTGGGTTACATGTTCATCACCGAAATAGTAAATGTCAAAATTTTTGCTGCAGTAATGTTTGACTTCTGAGTTATGATTTACGTGTATTCACTGTTGAAAGATGCATATACGAGACAACGAAACAGGATACATTATCCAAAAAACTTTTTTTGTTTTTCTTGTTTATGTTTTTGTACAAGGCTGCAAGTAATGTGACAAGACAAACCTAAAATAAAATTTATGTGTTGAGAAAAAAGAAAAAGAAGAGAAGAGGTCCAAAACCAAGAACACTGGCTACAAATGGGCTGGTCTGCTTCATTTGCTTTGCGTCAATTTTCCACCTGACTGAGAACGAAAGAAAACAAGAAATCCGAACAAAAACAATGTAAGATATCGACAAGAGGATAGAACCGAGAGCATAGAAACAGCGAGTTCATACCTAATTTTCATAGAAGCGGGATCGACGCCTTCTTGAACTGTAAACCAGAGAGAATATGGTATCAAGCAATGTCTATTTTGTAACCATAGCAAAAGAAAGCTATTAAACAAGGTCAAGACTGCAAGCCACTATGTCAGAGATGCCGCGCAACAATGGGACATGATAATCTAATTCAATCTATCTATAAGGTGCCTGAATTAACTGGCTCACCCGTTACCCTCTAATATCAATGCAGAATAATCATAAAACTATGAAAGTAAGAATGTATATATATCAGTGCAGACCGCAACAATACCAAACTAGTGGTGTGAAGAGATTATCTATCAAAGAGAAACTAAAGCAATAGACGATGATTCTGACCTTTGATGCATAGAGCTACTTCTGTTAGTTCCATTTGTGTTGATGAACTCATCATCAATCTCATCTACTCTATACTCTGGGAACTCTATGGATGCTACTGAGCTGTCATCAGAATTGGAGTTATCATAGCTAGAGCGGCGACTCCCTCTCCTGCTCTCGCTCATTCTTGATCTTCTTCGATTCCTAGCATTCCTTATATTGTCAAACATTTGATACAGGATACAAGAGGTCCACCAGTTTCCTTCGTTGCTAGGAACATCCTCAAACTCATCTCCAGTGTCATCATCTCCATATTCGATCACATAGTCCCCTAAAACCACTCCTCTTGGAACTTCCGAGTGAATTGTGCTCAACACATCGATAATTTCAGACGACTGCTGGAAATTTTCCCAGTCAAGCTTCCGTGCTGGATCAATTTTGGAGGGACGAGAATCTGGATGCTCTGACTGAGCGTGTTTGCGAAGCTCCATGTAAGTACCCATAAACCTGCATCTTTCTTCCTCGCAGCAACGTTTTTTCTCATCAAGACGGACACGAGCTTCTTCTACAACAAGCCACCCAGTAACTTCTCCTCTACACAGTGGACACACAGGTTTGCAATTCTCTTCTAAAACCTTTGACCGAGGTTCATCAGGAGCAGGAGGTGATTCTGTACCACAAGCGCTAATGAAGCGATCCAAACAATTGGAGTGAAGGTGATCTGTATTGCAGACAAACGCACGGCATCCATTTTCGTAAGATGAACACTGGAGAAGCACACCATTGTGAGGAAAATCCAAACAAATGGGGCAAACTAAATCATCCCAATTGATCGTTAGCTGAAACTCTTGGCTACAAAATGTCTTTGCTTGAAGCCGTTTTTCGCAAACACGTTCCAACGCCATTGGAAAAAAAAAAAGCCAAACTTTTCCTCTACGATCCGCAAATGAAAAAAGCTTATTCCAACTTAATAGGAACTGATA